TAAAACAAACCCAAAAATCCATGGGTAAGCTCAGGTGCGTCGTGGGTCGGTGATGGCTGATGGTCTCTGCTGGAGGCTGAACAAAAGCGTCGAGGGCATTGCCACCTTGTGCGCCCTGTGCAGCGGCCGATGGGGTCTCTGGTGGCTGCAGGGGAGGGGGAAGCTGTGGGCTCGCAGCGATGCCAGCGGCTGTCCCTGGTCCCAGCGATCTTCACATGGCCACCAGCCTGTGGTCGGTACAGGGAGCGGTGGGTGCATTTCCAGGAGGAGCTGGTGGTAACTGGCACTTCCCTGGTGTCGTGGAGGACCACCAGGGAAGCCGCAGGCGTTGACTTCCCTGAGATGAAAGCCATGCTAATTCTCCAGACTGATTCCAATGCCACTGCTGCTCTGGTGTCTGCAGAGGTGTTCGCCTCCTCTCTTTCTCCGTTAGAAAATGTCTCGACAAGCCTTCGCTTTAGCTGCTGCCTCAACCCCTGTGGCAGCTGCAGGGTGCTGCCCTGGGGCAGCTTCGGTGCTGGCACCTTCCCCATTGCTGGGCTTGTGTCAACGTGTCTGGGGCTCGGTGGGGAGCAGCGTGGGAGGCAGAAGGTTTCTGGGTTAGAAAAAGGCAGGTAACTTTATTTACTTACTTATTTCTAGTTCTGGTGCAGGCTGCGCTTACAGAGTTTGTGTCCCAGATGCAGGATGATGCTGCAGGACGTCACCCAGCCGGTCCTGGGGCACCCTGGGGGATGCCGAAGTACCGGTTGATGCCAAATGTCATCTCCACCCGAGTTGGTGCCCCGCTGAAAGGCTGAGCAGGGTTTAGCCCCTGGGCAGTGGGTTTGTGGCATGGTGGCCGTCTCGCAGCAAGCCTCAGCGTGAGGATGGACCCGCGGCAGGGATGGCTGAGAAATGGCAGTGGTGCTGCTGCTTCTTTGGGTGTGCGATAGCTTCGTCTTCCCACGCCTTTACACAGCGCCCATGTGTGCACCCACACCATCCCTCCTTCCTCCCACCACCCCCTTGGCCCTTTTCTGTTCATCTGTAGCAAACTTAGAGAAAGTCTGGTTTTAAGCAGCTCTTACCTGCAGCGGAGCATCAGTGGGGGAAAGGTGAGCTTCCAAAAAAAATAATAAAAATGCAGGTTTGAAGTCCCAAGCCAGGCAGCCTTCCAGGGAGAGCCGTGCTGCTTCCCTGGGGCGTCACGTGGGGCTCTAATATCACAAACCCTTCGTTAAGTTTTTGTAAGATCTGATCTTTTTTTTTTTTTTTTTGTATGGGAAAGCTGAATTCTGCAGCTTATTCAAGGATCTTTTGTCTAAACAAATTATCTGCGGGAGCTTTTTCTCAAGGCTTTGCAAGAGCACGGAGCTCTGGTTTGGTTTGGTTTGTTATTTTAGATTATTTGTTTTGTTATTATGGTTAAATTATTAGATATTTAAATGACCCTTCAACTAGATGAATTGCACTAATAAAAAAATATGAGCTCTTATAACTTGTTTGGCTGTTTGTCGCCCACTATACCACCAATTCGCTTCGCTGGGTGCCTTTGCGTAGCTCAGGATCCTGCAGAAGGCATATTTTGGCTCGTGTTTTCTTCTTGGCTCGTTTCCGTAGTTG